GCCCGCCCGCCGGCGAAATCCCCCGACAAAGGGGAAAAGGAACCGAAGGAGGAAAAAAAAAAAAAAACCGGTCCGCGAGGGCCGCCGTCATTATCGGCCCCCCTGGGGTTTGCGGGGGTATTCGGGGAAATCGGGGGGGGCGCCTGGACCCCCGACCCCCACACGATGCCCCCCCAAAGCCCTCGCGAGGCAAACCGGCTGGGGATATCCCTCCCCCCGCCCGCCCCTCGTGCGGGTTTTTTTTTTTTTTTTTTTTTTTTTTTGTGGGGGCCCGGGAATTCCCGGACTCGTTTTGGACGCCCGGCCCCCCATGCGTTCTTCGAACCCTTTCCCGCCCCGAATCCTTCTTCCTGATGGAAGGAACTTTTTTCCTCGGCATTCCGAGCGTTCAGGCCTGTTTCCCGGCGGTTTCCGTTCGTGTCGCCGTTTGCTCCCTCGGGGTGTTTTCGGCGGGGCCCGCTCTTGATATTCGTTCCCCCTTGGGTCGATGAAATCTTTAAATAGAGTTATGGCGTTTTTTTTTTTTTGTTTTTTTCACGATCTGACATATCAGGTTTTTCTTGATCGATAAGAGTGAAATTTGTACAGTTCTCTGGAGCATAAAAAGAGGTTATCCTATTCATGTGTGTCGTGCTTTTTTTTTTTTTTTTTGGACTCTGTGTGGTAAGAACCTTCGCTCTGTTATTTTGCCTATTCTGGATTTTCTCTCTGTTTATAAGTCACCCTGGTTCAAATCACAACGAGTTTATTGTCAAGAGGAGAAAAATAAAAAGAGGTGGAGAGAAAAAAAAAAAAAAATAATAATAATAATAATAACAAAGATGTGAATGAAAGACTATTATGCGCTTCAAGTTGCTCTATATATTCATAGTATATAAACCATATTTCATAGCAGGGGTAAGTAATATAAATAAAAATATATATATATTTATAAAGGCAGACAAGGGAGTGAAAGAGACGTTAAGATTAATAGATTGTACTACCTCCAAATCACCATGAGGTTAAAGACCATCACAGTGACGAATACCTGAGGATTCCTCACGCACATTGCTGAGCAACTGCTTAGATGCGTCAAGTATTTTTCTGAATGCCTCTGATGTATCATGAATAACTTTATCAAGATCTGATTTCGCCGTCATTTTCCGTCGCAAACTTTCATCTATTGAGGTTAAACGAGCGTTTAAAGCCTTTATCTCGGTGAGTAATCGAGTTCGTTCTTCTTCTTCACGTCTAATGCTTTGATCAAGCTCTGCACGTCGTTCTTTCATTTCTTCAATAACAGAGACCAGTTCATTACTAGTGGCTTGCACATCAGAACCTAGGGAAGCCATTTGCTAACCTCCAAAAATAATAGAAAAATAGATCAACAACAAGGAAAAATACTAGAATGAAAAGTAACAAGAATGTCACCAGATATTCCGTATAGAGTTATACTTTAAGGTAATAAACTATTTGTTTTAATAATAGTCATAATAGTCATAATAATAATAATAATAATAATAATAATAATAATAATAATAATAATAATAATAATAACGATAAAAATAATTTTGGAAGAAGGTTCTCGGATAATGTTCTCTCAAACTTTCCCAATCTCTATTAACCAATAAAATAGAGTTAAGCCTAGAAGAAATCACCCTGAAACACCTCGTTATCAGGAGAAAGAGAGATTAAACTTATTGACAGCAGATTGGAATATTAATATACTGCTCAGTGGATAAGTAATCCGCGATTCGAAATACGTAATGGAGACTGAGACTCTAAACAACAGTGTGCGTGTGTGCGCTTGTGTTACATCGAACAAGTGATACATACAACTAGTACGCTAGAAAGGAAAACGAGAATTCCCCTTGAAGAAATCAATTCCAGATCATCTTAAAGGAAACTTTTTTCTTTGTTTCTATATTAAGAAATAGATACATAAACGTATCTGTTTTTATGTGCGTATATGTATAGAATGTAATTATTTACTCTTGCTTTAAACAAAGTAAGAAAACAGAAACAAACAAACAAAACAAAAAAAAAAAGAATTTCAGCCATATTCCAGAAACACAACTCTATTTACATGAATGGAGTTTCTTTGTGTAACAGATAAACATAGAAAAGGAAAAAAAAAAAAAAAAAAAAAAAATTACAACAAATAGAAGCACCAAGAGTGTAAACAAACGTCTTTTTTTTTTTTTTCACGAAACCACTTTTACTTCTTTCGCAATATAGTAGCAGTGGCGGCAGCAACTGTTACCTGTTGTGGTCGTGGTGCACCATTGGCTTTTATTGCAGCAGCCACTCGACGTAGAAGTTCTTGTTTGCTTCTAATATCTTCCACCGTCACACCACGTGTTTGAGAATCAAATTCACTTACACGGACATAATGCTCCGTTTGTGGCCGCTTGATCGGTACCTTTACACACCCCTTCGGCACAAAGGCGTACTTACTTGAAGCCTGTGAACGGGGATATGAAAGAGTACGATCAATGAAGAAATTCTTGTAGCCAAGCAAACCCAAAACCACTGCAATCTCCTCAAGTTGCGGGTTTTCAACGGATTGTGTCTTTGTGAGACGTCGTCCTTCGCTTGGAGTAAGATTAGCGTCTAGGTACTGCGGAAATATCGTTTGATACTCCAGTTTATTATACGACCGCGATGATGCCTGCATTGTTGCTGCAAAAAACAAACAGACTGAGAGAGATATAGATATATAGAGATAGACACACACACAGATAAAAAGGGAGTGCCTGCAATTGTGTGTTCATCAAAAACAAAAAAAAAGAAAAAAAAAGAATGGAGTGGAATAGAACAATCATAAACAATGAGTACAAAAACAACTAAAAAAAATATATATATGGTTAAAGGGAGATGGGAGAAGTAATTAGATAAATAGTAATAATAAAAAAAAGACACAAAGCACTATAGTAGTTTTGTGATCATCTGCGTTTGATACTAGGGAAAGCACCACAAACATACAGACAAACACACACACACACACACACACACACAGAAGGCCTACTCCATTGGGAACTAGGAACGGTTCACCACACTACTACTAGCCGTGCCCAAATTTTGAAGTCATTACATTTCTTCTCCTTTTGCTTCTTCTGTCATCAGTACAAGTACTGATATCACAAAAAAAACCATTTAATTCATTTTGTTTGTTTGTGTTAATCCTGTATTGTTTACGTCCGTTTGCTTAAATCACAATGCACACATACAGGCACTTATTTTTCGCTTTTTTTTTACTTCGTTCTGGGTTTACCCCTCAAAACTACCTTTTCTTTAAAGCGAAAAAACAGTCTTATTCCTCTTTTTTTTTTGTTTTTTACCCCCTTTCTCACGCTGACGTTTATTTTATTTTATTTTATTTTTTGAACAAATCACTTCTTTGTTTTAGCTTACGTAAATGATACGGGTTTGATTAGGGTATCCTTTTACCTTATGATCTGCGTGCACGACCACCATTACATCACCTGGGACGACGTAACCCTTTTTCTTTGCAAATTCCACACCGAGTTGAACACGGTTCTCTTTATCATCATCTGGACCATATCGTTCAGCATCATAAAAGACACTCTCAACAGATTGAGTAATATTCAATTGTCGACATGTTCGCATGCGAGTAGTAGCACAAATAATAGGGCAGTTTGGACGATACTTGCTTGCGAGTCGAGCGCTACGACCAGAATTACTCAAAACGAGTAAGGCCTTAGCTTCCACTTCATATACAGAATTTACAGCACTACTGCAAACTGCCTCTTCAGGAGACATTGGCAGTTTCTGCATGCTTTTGATGCTATTAAACATCACATATTGATTAGTAGCACTTTGTGCCACGACACAAATACGGGCCATGTACTGTACCACTTCATTAGGATAATGTCCTTTTGCCGTTTCACCAGAAAGCATCACACAATCGGCACCGTTAAAAACAGCATTGGCAACATCTGATACTTCTGCACGTGTTGGTCGAGGATTTGTCGTCATACTTTCCAACATTTGTGTGGCACAAATTACGGGTTTTCCCGCCACATTACACTTGCTTATTAAAGTCATTTGTGCCACCACAACTTTTTCTGCTGGAATTTCCACACCGAGATCACCACGGGCCACCATGATACCATCACTTGCATCAATAATAGCATCAATATTCTGAACACCTTGATGATTTTCAATTTTAGATATAATTAATGTCTCCTTACCCTGTTCACCAAGAGTTGCACGAACTTCCCGCACTTGTTCTGCTGTACGTATAAAAGAAGCAAATATCATATCAACACCTTGTTCCACGCCAAACTTAAGATCCTCACGATCTTTAGCTGATACTGCTGGAAGGTCGACTTCACATCCAGGCAAATTACAACCTTTACGATCTGTCAATCGGTGTCCATTATTCACATAACATTTCAAGGTACAATCATCTTCTTTACTTATTACCTTAAGATTTAAAACTCCATCATCAATGTAAATGGATCCACCCGGTCTGACAGTTGTAGCAAGACGAGGATAGTCAATGTAAAATTTTTCTTTTGTCCCAGTTTTTTCAAAGGCAGGATCTGTTGTTACCAAGACAGTGTCACCTGTCATCAATATAGCCTCACCCCCCACAAAAAGTCCAGTTCGAATTTCAGGTCCCTTTGTATCAAGTGCAATACCAATATGCATTCCAAGTTCTGCTGCCGCAGTGCGTACGTTGTTGATCGTTGTTTGATGGTATTCGTGGCTTCCATGGGAAAAATTCATTCGCGCCACAGACATACCACTTTTCATAAGACCCTTCAAAGCCTCAACACTTTGTGTGCTGGGACCAATCGTGCATACAATACGGTTCGCACGATAGTTAGGAAGTGGATCAAATATGGAAAGTCCGATGTTGTGCGCAAGCTGAGACATCCTTCTTAAGCCGGCAAGAAACCTTTGATTAAATATATAGACGTATGGTTATGTTTTCTTTTATTTTCTGTGTTTTTTGTATCGTTTACTTATTCCTTTTTCTTTTTTTTATTCCCTTTTTCAATCTCTTAATATTTTATATATTATTATTGGTGTACATGTAAAATAAATAAAAAGACGGGAATAGTTTTCTATAACATTGTTAAAAAATAAGATTGTAACTCAACCAATATATTTTTCTTTAATTATTTTTTTGCCATTTTACAGAATATGGGAAGAATCAATGCAGTTTTGTTTCGATTTCTCTCTTTTTTTTTGGTGAAAAGTTTCTTGTTTTTTTTTTTTTTTTTTTTTTTTTTAATCTTTCGTTTTCCCTCCTCCGTAATACTCGCCCAAAACCTTTATATTATAGAGGTGGTTTTACTTAACAGCAACATTCCTCTCTTTTTTTTTTTTTGTTTACTTCATTGGCTAGAGAGGTTGTAATTTGCCTTCTTTAATAATCTCCCCTATCGTTTTTTTTTTTTTCCTTCTCTTCAGTTCTTACTCTCTCATTCAGATGTTTTGTAATGCACAGAAACCAAAAACCAAAAAAAAAAAAACAAAACAAATGGCAAGAAAGACAGTGTAATAGATGCAATTCAAAGTCTTTTTTTTTTTTTTCTTCACGTTTCACTAGTCAGTGTACTCTTCTCGAGTTGGGGCTCATTTTAGACGTGAACAGCATCACATATATAGATATACATATATATATATATATATATATATATATATATATTTTTTTAAAATCCTTACTATTATTCCTTGTCCTCTCCTTGTTCCTCATCACCCTGGTTTTGTTCTTCTTTTTGTTCTTGTTCCACATTCTCTTCTTCTTCCTCCTCCTCGTCGTCATCACTGGAAAGCTCCAGTTCACCTGTCTTTTTGTGGCTTTCATACTCCACTTGCTTGGCGCGAATTCTCTCCACAGAAGCATCAATGGCAGCTAACGCCAAAGGTGGCTCCTCATTAATGAGTTGAAACAGGCGAATCTTATCTTCGCTATGTTGGAGTACACGATTTTTCGCAGTACCTGCTTTTGGTTTTTGCTGCTGTTGTTGTTGTTTGTTTTTCTTACCAAGAGCACCACCCTTATTTGCATCTGTCCGTTTTTTACCATCATTAAGTAGAACAGCACCTTCGGGAAGGAACTTGGTAGGATCAAATGTTGCAGCCGCTTCTTGCCTGGCAAGTTCTTCCTCTTCACGCTGCACCATCGCCTTCTTATCTCGCAGATATCGAACCAACGTACTGCATGCATCCGCCTCCGCCTCATAAGGGTTCTGACGACGCAAGGCGCGGGCTCTTTTCTCTTCCATCTTGGCAGCATTTTTATACTCCAAATAACGTCGTTGACGCTCTTTTCGTTCTGCCTCTACTTTGGCAGCATATTTGGCCCGTGCTTCTTCCCGCCATGCATTCCAAGCTTCCACAGCTTTGTTATGTTCCTCACGTAAAGTGTTCATCTCATCGCTCAGACTCTTAATTTTGGCGCTAATCTCATCACACTTTTTATACACTTCCTGACGATTAACACCGGTCTTACGTAACTCTTGTTCCTTCTGTTGTTTCGTCATGCGTTGCTCATTATACTCAGACTTGAGATTACGTACACGCTCATTGATTTCTTGCCACTCACGTTGCAGTAACGCTTCACGGTGTTTAGCCTCAGTAATAGCTTCTGTAAGTGGCTGCATCTCCAGAAGGAAGCGTTTCGCTTCCTCAAGTTTACTCAACTGACGTACAGTGCGTTTCTCAGCGGCCAAGCCACCACCACTCGTTTCCATCTTACGTGTAAGATATGCAATTGCCTCGTCAATCTCTTTAAGAGTCTTGAACCCACCCAGACCATCTGAGAGTTCATGCAGCTTATTGAGCCGTTCATCATGTATTTTCTGAATCTTCTGAATCTCTTCATTCTTCTTAAACCGCATCTCCTGCTCTGCCTTACGCTGTGTATCAATCTCACCCATACGCTGCCGCAACTCGCTGAGTTCCGCCTCCACTGCCTCCTGACCTTCACGCGGTCCGAGCGACGCCCGCAGTGTCTTCACCTCCGCAAGGAGCGCCCGCCTCTCCTCCACGAGGCGGTTCATTTTAGCGCGAAACGCCGCGCCATTCGGCTCCGGTGGGCCACCGGGGATTGACATCCATCCGGGCATTTGTTTTTTCGCCGTAGGGGCTGCTGCTGCTGCTGGGGGTGGCGTGGCACTCATTAGTCTTTCGAAAGGTTATATATGAGTGGATAAATTTCTTACTTGGTTTCCTTCTTCTTATTTTTTTTGTTTGTTTTGGCTCTTGAACTTGTATATTTTTGAGTCTCCTCTCAATACGGGATGTGGTTCAGTTCGCTTTTTTTTTTATTGTTTTTCTTTGCTTTTTTTTTCTCTTCTTGTTGAGGGGTTCTTGTGTGCTTGGTTCCACCTTCCAAACGTCACTACGTCCTCCTTTGTGGTAAGGAAGTGTACAAGGAGAAGAGAGAAGAAAGGAGTAATAATGATAAGACAACACGACGTGCTTGTAAAAAGAATAAAAATAATAACAACAACAGAAATGCAGAAAAAAGGGTTAAGAAGAAGTATAGGAAGAAGGGAAAAAAGAAAAAAAAAAAAAAAAGACTATCGTAATATTTTAGGTTGAGTAAAACTGATTATAGGGTCTACTCCCAGATATTCATATTAATGTTCGGTTTTTTTTTTTTTTTCTTTTTCAATTATTACGAATAAGAATAATCTTAGCTTCACTTCTACAATAAACAAGAACATAAGAACAAAAAGAAAACCCTGTATTTAACCTCCACGATTTGGAACCCCATCGTGTATAAAAAAAAATAAATTGTATTTTCCCAGACACTTATTTAAAAACATGCTAAGAACTGACGAAATGGAGGTGCTGAGAAGCACTTTTAGCCCGCCTCCCGCTCGGGGCGGTGTGGGTTTGGTTGTTGGATGGGCTTTTCAGAAACTTACGAACGCCAGGCTGCAAAAGAATGGAAAGAAAACTCTTTTTCCTAAATATTGATACCCCCAGTACAGGATTTGTTAACTAAAAAGACAGGTAAAACTCAATTATTCTTTTCGCAGGCTAACAGAAAAAAAAAAAAAAACAACAAACAAACAAAAAAAGCTTTTTACTACACTCGAATATACTATGCACGAGAGTATTCTCTTGATAATACCAATTGTTGATCATCAGCGGTCATTATCTGCGACCGTTAAAATTTTCGTATAATCACGTAAACAACGATGATTATTCATTAGATTTATAATCATACATCACTATGAAGGAAAGAAAGAAAAAAGCATTGAACTTTTCCCTTCTTTCCTCTTCCTTATCATTTGATCAAGAGAAGGTATTAGTCAAACTTAACAGACGCAAAAATGACATTTACGAACTTCCACGCCGAGAGAAAACCAATGGCCCCACTACAGAGTACATAAAAAAGAGTCAGTAAACCCATATAAATAGTGAAAAGAACGGTTGCTGCCACTGTAGTCATCTTTACAACAGCAAAGTAGAAGAAAATGACAAATAAAATGAGATGAAGTCCACATGAAGACGGTGCAGCAAAGCTCAACCACCACCAATGGTAATCTTCTGCGCATAGACGATAGTACACCACACAAATAGAAGTAAGACCACAAGTTAGTGACCATAGAAGAAATACCAGCATGAGGAATCCAAAGAAATTATAAGAATACCCCTCAAATAGAGATATGAATAAGAGGCGCAATTCAAATAGTACCACTCCAACTGGAGCTAACCCTGACAAAAACAATATATACCTCGTTTGCAAAAAAACAGGCATAAGGGATGTATTTATGCGGCGTGGTATAGGGTTCACTGATCTCGGTAATGTAGAGACAGGAATCAAGAAACCAAATTTAGCCCCAATAAAAGCTAAAGGGACAAATACACAAATCCACAAAATTGATAAAAATATAAAAAATACAAATGAGACTGCACCAGTACTACGTGCTAATCGAAGCACAATATTACTTAATAAAAACGTGATAAATACGACACCTGGAAGTCCACATACATATTTTATTATTGTTAACCAACGTTGTGGCAAATGAAGTGATTTAGATAACCATACAGTAAAAATACCGCAAGGTAGTGATGATAAAAGAAATTGAATAAGTATGATCATGATTATGCTTTGCCTATTTGAAGAAAATTCATATTGAATCCAAGTGCCTAAAATGAATATAGCTGTTAAGAAAAAAACATGAATACCAGATACTACAAGTACAACAAGATCATCAGCACGTTTCGGAAGACGAAAAACATCACCACTTACTGCCTTCCAACCATGATCCTCAAGAATGGAATCAAAATTGTCTTCCTTTGATTTTTCCAAAAGAGAATTATAAAGAGCGAAATCCCGGCGGAGAGCACGAATGACAATAAAAACAACAACGGAAGTCATGCTGAGTACTATAAGTAAGGAGTATATAATAAAAAAATAATGAATACCAGATTTCTGTTTGTTTTTCTTATTATTAAAATACTTCTCCCAGTTTGTACCCCACTGAAGGTCTGGTTGTTCGTGCCACTCCACTGTATATGTCCATGCAATACTTCGATTAGTCAATGAATTATTAAGAACTAATGGAGGATATTTACCATTTTTAATATCCATAATATTGAGACTACTATTCTCAAAGAGGATTCTCTCTTCGTTATTATTATTTACTCCTGGGCAAGCAGAAGGTCGACCATCCTTGACATCACGCCAATCCACAGAGAAACCTTGCACAGTTACATCAACTATAGTATAGAAGGCGGTATCTTCAGTATTTTTAGTATAACGATCATCATCATCATCATCATCATCATCACCATCACCATAAAAATCATTATCATCCATGGGAATATCAGCTTTTAAATTATCATTTGTTATTATTGTATCTCCTACTAAATTATTTTCTTTATTTTTTTTTACTTTTTGACGTGCATTTCGTTTACGGAGCATCTGAACCTTAGTTCCATCAGGAGCAGTACCCTCTTCATAGTTCATAGCCTCAGTGGGAGTGAGAGTATGATAATAAATAACAAAGTGTAGATGATTATTAAGATGCACAGGACCACCTGTACATTTGGAGGAAACACCCAAGTAAAATCCTTGCTGTGGTCCAGCTAAATTCTTTTTTCGTTTGTAAGAGCCTTTTTTACACCCACCTTGAAATAACTCTGCAGCATCACTGTAAACTGGAATATCATCAAGCATTATCTGTGCACGATAGTTTTTCTCAATTAACTTTTGCATCCACTTCACTTGAGCGGCAGTCAAACGTGTTTGGTCCTCACATTCTACAGAATCACAGGTTTCCAGAAGCATGTAGAATGTATAAGAAGACCACTGTGGACGTGCACCACTCAGTAGCGCACCAAGTCCCAAGTTCTGCCTTAAACCCAATTCATGTTTATCAATAGGAGGACAAAACGGTGTGCGTGGCTCGTAATAAGGGTATGGTAATTCATTGGTTAAAGAATAGAGTTTGTTAACTTCCAATCGAACCTCATCTCCAAAACGACGTGCGGTGGGAGCAAGTCCTGGAACATATAGAAGGCCACTAACACAAATTCCCGGAGATATACAGAGAATAAAGACAAGTAAAAGCAGAATTCTCCTCATTTGGATTGGCAAAAAGGGTGAAGTGCTATCAAAAAAAAAAAAAAGGGAGTTAGACCAGCGTATAAAAGATCACAACGTCTCTTCGCCTAAATTTATATGGATGGGTTTCCTACTTTTTTTTTTGCCCAGTGAGAAACCCACTTTCCCTTCTTTGACTATTCGCCGGTCCCCCCTTTTTTTTTCTTCTTTTTTTTTTTTTTGGTACTCTGGCAAGTCACCTTCTTTCAAATCGTAAAATATACAAAGGTACAGAATCAAACTAATGTAGCCACTTCTTTCAATATTATTTTGATCAACAACCCTTTTCCTCAAGTAGAAAACCCTTCCTACTTGTCTTTTTTTTTTCTTTAAGGTGGAAGAGAGACTCCTAAAAGAATTCTAGTAGAAAAAAAAAAAGAAAAAAAAAAAAAAAAAACATAAAATACAGTATGATATTAAGAAAGAAAAGAGAAAAAACAAAACAACAAAACATGGCATTTTTTTTTATCTTTTCCTTTCTCGCCATTTCTGTTCGCAAGACATTTTTTTTTTTTTTTTTTTTTAGGGGTCTCATGGAAGGAGGAAGCGGTTGCTTTTTTTTTTTTATCGTGAAAGTCGATATAGAGCGGAAGAACAAGATAGATATTACTGAGAGGGCAACAGAGCGCACAGATACACAGAAGCACATGTACAACATCTAGAAACAAAATACCCCTATTATTAAGGCATCTTTCTAACTCTTCCTTTCATAATTTCTTCCATCTTTTTTTTCTTTCCTTCTCTTTCTCACTCTCAATTGCCTTCATCCCTTCTCTACAAAAACGTTACACTTCTATTAAAAGAAGAGAGTAACTGACATGCGATTCCATTTCATTCACTAATTGTTATCGCTGCTGTCGTTTCAAGACCTTTTTTTTTTCGTTCTTTGTTTTTTTTTCTTTTTTTTTTCTTCTTCTGCTCTTCTCACCCTAGGATTTCCATTTCAATTTTCTCAGGTACTGAATGCTATTATTTGGTTCCTTGATACTCGCTGAGAGGAGTTTTTAGCCACGGTTGTGTGAATTCAGCCGCTTCACGAAGAATGAACACCTCTGAGTTACCTGTTGTAACCACCAACATCTCTCCTGTTGGGGACCATGAGAGACGCCAAACAGGTTCATTAAAAAGCACCACACTGCGTTCCCACGTACTACCACTTTCTTTTATCTGCTGCTGCCCATTTGCAGATCCACCTTGCTGCCGCTCTTGAATGGCAGCCCCAACTTGTTCCCATGGTTTGCGATGAATAATGACACTTTTATCTTGACCACAGGAGGCTACAACGGCATGACGTGTTGCGGCGCAAAGAGGGGCGAAGGCGACATCACGAACCCAGTCCGTATGTCCATCAAGCAACTCGAGGAGTTCAAACGTCTGCGACATCGGATCCCCCTCACGCGAGCACCACAAACGGACTTGTGAGTCACAACCACCAGATGCCAATAAAATAACATCAGCCTGGGGTGACCAGATTGGGGCAAAGGAGACACACGTCGCTCCCATCGCATGGGCAATATTATTACTATTATTGCTGAGTTTCACACTCTCACGCCAGACTCCACCTTGATAAACCGTAACTGCCACTGTACCATCACTGCTGGCAGTTGCCACCATTGGACTCTCGGGTGCCCATTGGACAGCGTTTACACTGCCGTGGTGACAATCGATAACGTGAACAGGTCGCCATTGTTGTGAACCTTGAGGTACTTCTTTCCATATGATCGCTCTGTGATCATATCCAGCTGATGCCAATGCAAGACCAAAACGTGGATGGGCCCAGCTTACCATCCATACAGGACCCTCATGACCAGTAAGAGTGGAAATTCGCTGAAGTTGACCATTACGAACTTGGTGAATTCCTATAGTGCGATCTGAACTGGCTGTTGCAAGTAACTGTCCGTAATAATCAAACTGTGTGTCATGGACTACATCTTGGTGTTCTTGTGGCTGTTGTACATTTTCTTGAGGAACTTGGTTACTCAAGGGTCGCTGAGGTTGAGGTTGTTGTTGTTGTTGTTGTTGTTGATGTGGCGGTGGTGGTTGTTGTTGTTGATAACCACCCATTGGTTGTTGGGGAAAACGAGGCTGCGGTGAGCGAAGCATTTTCTCTGCAGTAGTGTTTTCTAGTTAATATTACCTACAACAAAAGCTCCTCTTATTAATACCTTTTTTTTTTCCCTCACCACAGAAGTTATATAGGGATAAGAAGAAAAAAAAATCTTGGGGTGCTTACTAGCCACAGAGAAAAGAAAAGACAAAAAAAAAAAAAGAGAAACACATGAGCCAAGAGAAAATAGAAAAAAAAAAAAAAAAAAAAAAAAAAAAAAAAAAAAAAAAAAAAAAAAAAAAAAAAAAAAACAGCGCATACACCCAATGTAATAGCAAGCGTTTCCTCTCCTCATTTCCTCCCATCTCTTTTTCTTTACTCTTTCATTTATTTTAAACGCTCTTCAATTTCCTTCTTACTTTTCATTGGAAGGTAGAGTATTATCACCCGATTTATCTCATTCCATGCAAAAGAAGACACGGAGCACCACAGAAAATCTCATATATACAGACACAGACATCCACAAGAACAACAACAACAATAATAAAGAAAAGAAAAAAAGGAAAGAAAAAAAAAAGAGAGTCAACGCGCCGTTATTGCCAGAATCAATCTTCATTGTTTTTTTTTTTTTCTTTTCGTATTAATTCATTCACTTCTCATAATTCAACGCATTCGCTTGCCAATCGCCATCACACTTTCCAACGCGGCACTCTTAGCTCTGGCATTTATTCCATCATGGAACTTATCCATTGCCTCATCATCGCAATCCCATTCTTCCTGTAGAGCCTCATCACTCACCCACGGAGTGGAAGGATTTGGGTTAGATCCACCATCAGGTGCGTCGCGCTCCACCATTGCAAACTGTCGCAAAAGAGCCAATTCATAGAGTGCTAAGTGTGTGTGTGTTAATTTCCATTCCTCACGTTCTAACACTGCCTGTGCAACTTTCAATCCACATGACACAAGCGTGTGACGCTCGTTTTCTTCAGCCTCTAAAAAATCTTCATTAAGTGAAGATGGTTTTTCATTGATACAACGCTTACGCTTTCTACCTGTTACTTCCGTTCCTTCATCCTCATTTACTTCATCATCTTCAGGTGCTTTTTTAATTATATTACCTTCATAACTTTGTGGAACACGCCGTTGTAATACTGCTATTGACCAGTCCCTATAATTAAATGGAAGTGGACAATATTGCAGAACATCAGCATGACAAAGTGAAGATTGATTATCCTCTCGGACGTTCATGTGTAATGATGGAATACATGGTACATTACCACCTAAGGCTTCCCTTTTACCAAGCCAATATTGTCGTACTTCCTCTACTATTGCGGGATCTGCTCCAATTGCGACGACACCGTCGAAACTAGAGACAGGTTGTCGTTGTACAGGAATTTCAGGATTACTATAGGATCCCACTTCAAAGGCTGTAATAAGGTCTTCAAAAAGTGAAATAGAAATATCATTTCGTGAAAAAGATGGCACAGATGAAGGAGTTGTACTTGTTGAATCAATACTCCCCGTTTTTCCTTTCGTTACTCCTGTCACTGTAGCCGTTGCCGTTGTTGTTGATGTTGTCACTGATCGTTGTACAAGCCATTGACGATCATACTGATCTGCAATATACTGCACTGCTATACGTCGTCGAGTGTCTGGCACAGATCCAATCAAATGATGCTCTGGCAACTCAAACGTATCAACATCCTCCAATGTGGTGGCCCACTCTGGGCGTGGACGAATCTCTGGCCGTGCGATAGCGGCTGGAGCGGTGCTATTAGAGCCTCCACAGGCGAGAGTGCCGATGGGGGTGGTGGTGGATGTACACGCGGAGAATGTTTGGCTGGCGGTGGGGGATGACGGGGCGTCGCCGGCGATGGCGTTCAGTCCGCCTGCGTGGAGGAGGGCGTTGTGTTTGGCGAACTCGTGCTGCTGCGCTGCCACCCGGTGGAGGGCGAGTTCCTGCGATGGGAGGAGTTTGGGGTGAATCATCGCCCGCAGAGATTAGTAGTTAGTGTGTGGGGTGGCTCGTCTACACTCCAGGGAAAGAAGAACACACCACTGACACAGAGAATGAATGAAAAGAAAGAAAGAATTAATCACCTTCTTTTTTTTTCTTTTTATTTTATTTTTTATTTTTTTAGTTTCCCTCCCCTTGCGTGTTCGTGTTGGTATGCGCTCTTGTTTTTACTGCCAGCCCAAAACACGGCAGTCCTTTAAACCCGATACAACACAAAGGGCAAAAGGTGTCTCAGAAAGGGAGAGCCTTACACTCCAAGACACTTTAGAAAAAAAAAGAAAAAAGTAAGAAAAAACAAATGAAAGAGAAAGAGTGAGAAAAAAACATATATATATATATATATATATATATATATATA